AAGGTTAGGAACCCTTATGACAGTAAAATTGTAGGTCTTCTTCCACTCTCCTTCTTGCATTTTTCGGTCCAAATATGGTATCAACCACTCTCAGTTGATGTAACCATGGATCTTTTCACGCTACATACATGTTTAAAAATTATAAAACTAAGTTAATAAACACATAAATGAGTTGAGTCTACGAAAATATTTTTAATTTGAAAATCTAAAAAGAAAGTTGATACATATTCAAAACTCTACTTACACGTTCATCAACCAGTATAAAATGCAAAGACTCAACTCCATCTTGATCAATGGTAAGCCACTTCCTATGAACTTTCACCCGCATAACCCAATTGGACTTCCAAGGATGAAGATCAATAATTTTATCGAAGATAAAATTCATGCTTTTAGATATTAGATAGTTGTTTGGAAGTGAAGAGGTTTTGTTTAATCTTACAAAGGAATGTGATGTTGTTTATATAGTGAGATGCTCTGTATAAGTTACAGGAATTGTATCAATGCATTTTCAAAAATTATTAACTAAATTTAAGTTTTGTTATAAATGCTATTAGTATTAACTATTATTCTTTGTGTCAGATTTGTAGGTGCAGTTACGAAAAAAGAAAAATAGGAAAAGACAACACAAAGAGATAGCATCGGTAAGTTTCAATAATATATTTTTTCTGAAACTTTTCAGAAATTTGCTCTTGGAAAGATCGCGATTTGACAAAAAGTTTTAGATATCAGAAACTTCTGTTATTGGTCCCATATTTTTTAAAAATTTTATCTTCAAAGATATGTTTAGGTTATTGGGCTACTTATAAGTTTGTTTAGGAAGGTAATATGTGGGCTTCGTCGCTCTTTGTTGTGGATTTAAGAACAGCCCATAGAAAACAAATTATTATTAGTAAAATATGTAAAATTCAACCTTAAGTAAAAGTACAGCGCAATAGAGTTATTTCATGACTAAAAAAGTCCATAGAAAATGTATAGTTACCAAAGACCTTTTATTAAATTGAATTAAATGAAACGCATTATTCAAATTTAAAATTTTTTTTTAAAAAAACTAGAAAGCAAGATTCAGAGTAACGGTCACTTTGGTAAAAACTTTAGAATAGCCATGTTTTAGAGACCGGCTTTGTCCTCTTTTTTAGATGAAGCTTCAACGTCTCTGTGTTTCATAGCATTTGTCGATCCAATAATCATTAAACTTTTCTTTGACTGTATCATCTTTTCTAGCTTGATATTGTGTGTCTTAGGCTCAGCTTTAGCTTTGTTTGCTAGCTCTTTGTATATCTCAACCATATTTTTCTCATCTTTTGGTGTTGACTCGTAATCATTGATCTTTTCCAGCTTGATGGACTTGGTGCACAGCTTCTTTAATGTTGATGAAAGATCAGGTAATTCTTCAAACTCTTCAGAAGATCTCTTAGAAGAAGGTGTTATGCTCACATTTGAATTTCCTATACTGCTACTATTAATTATAGAAACCTACAGCAACCACAACTTAGTTAGAAGCTGATAAATATTGACGGGATAATTAGCTTAGTCTAAATACGCAGATCCAAAATTCTAAAAAAATTCGTAAAACCATATTTTCTCCATTTTATCATGTTTGGTCTAGTAAAATTCTCAAAAACAACAATAATAAAAAATAAGTCAAAAACATAATTAAAAATGACGATTGTGATTAGCTTAAAAATGATTACCTCGTCACCAGAAACAATTGTGGACAAATTGTCAACTTGTGTTAGAGTGTCCAAGGAAGTGTCTGTTGGTATAGTTAGATCATTTCCAGACCAAACATTCCCAACCTTATAGGTCTCTAAACCATAGTACAGGTTTTCTTTCGCAACAAAGACAATAAAACCGCTAAATCCTTCATAGGCTGAGGGAAAGCTTCTGTATCGACCATCTGATAAAAAAACACGTACTGCATTAGAATCCTCTTTTTGTAAACATCGTAAACAAACTATATTAATCTAAATAATTAATTACCTCTTCAAAAGAACCCCCAAGTAGATCAGTTGCTGAAACCGGTATGATGAGATTCACAATCTTGTCAAGAAGCATCACTTTTGTTTTTGCATTTTGATCCATAACCATAAAATGGAGCTTAAACCTGTATTTAAGAATGCTAAAAAACTTAAGTATTACATACATATATCTGATGAGGATAATTTGTTTAACCGTGTCAAGAATTGATCAAACCTTGCAGAAACTTTAGTGATGACTTCATCACAAATTTTACACCACCAAGTTGGTGCATTTATTCACACTGTGGTTCCTGCGTGTTTCTTAGACGTTTTTTCAACCTTTCGGTTACATTTCACACAACCAAAATGATACCAACCCCAGTCGATATCAATGGCATAGATAGTACACACTATCTTGCATTTCTCAATCTGTAAAAAACATTAAGTCTATTGTTTAAACAAAAAAAAATCATAAGTCGTAAAATCTCATTTCAGAACTTTTACCTCTACGACAGTGAGTAGCTCCTCAATGGTTTTTTGTGGAAATTGTGCCCAATATTCTTTCTTTTTAACCAATTCAGAATCTTTATCTTTAGGTTCTTGAATTGTCAAAGCAAGACCATCATCTGGCAGCCTGTAAAAAATGTAAAGATAAGTTTTTAATATCTATAAAGAAAATGTTTTAGAGATATATGTGATTTTGTTTGACATAATTCATAGTTATCACATTATTTAAGACTTACGATTTTTGAAATTCTTCTACCTCAGGAATCGCAGGATTGATGAATAATTTAGTTGTGTCAAAGGTATTTGTGATCTGAAGCTTTCGTGAGAAAATAACAATTTCAGCAATGGAATCATGTTATCCAAGGTCTAACTAATTGAAGGTAATTCATGAACTCTAAACTTATACCTCTGTAGGAATTTATTTTAGCAAATCTGATTAGGCATATCACCGTTTCACTATTGGCATCTTAGCAACTGTTAAAAAGTTCATCTGCGTGTTTTTGCCACAGACAACATGGCATACGCTCATCACTGCATAATTATAACATTTAAACAGCCAAATTAAAATTAAAATTATAGACATCAAAGACTTAATAATTTAAAACTAATTATGATTTTACTTAGTATCTCTGAGCTCAAACTCAATCTTTTTCCTCTCTTTTCCATTAACTTGCACACTTTGGAGATCTTTGACGTTAACAACCTGACCAATTACATCTGAAATATAAAAACACACTATGTTATAACTTAGAATACTCACCAACCAAGAAACTGTGATTAAGTGAACCGCTTAAAATTGTATCAAAATCCACGAGATTGATGAAATCTCCTGGTTTCTTCACATTACACTTACTGACAGATGTATTATCTGTAAAAGACATCTTGTAAGTGTGTTTTGTTGGTCTATACTGGCCAGATGCAGATGTTAATGAAAAGTTTTCAATAAATTTCCATTCTCCAACAGGAACCAAACGCTCAACATGCTACATATAGTTCTTTTTAACAGATGCATGTATCAGAGTACCCTGAAATATAGATAATAATGTTGTTAGTGTAAGTGTATTAGTTTATACATTCCTGAAATTAATAATTCGTGTTTCATTCTTAAATATTAACAGCTTACAGATTCATCAGCGAGAAGGAGCTCAAATGATCCACCGGATTGTGCAGTGTATTGCTTCCAGGAATGTACGACTTTGACTTGGACTCTCCATCCTGTTTTGAAAGGCTTGACGTCGGACAGGTTAGTAAAACCAATGAGAGAACTCATATTTTTTTGCTAAGAGAGACATTCGATTTAGGATGCTTTGTGTTTTGAGAATGAGTTATATAGCTAAGTCGAATTTTGTATTTATAGGGGAAATGATTAGTTAGATTTGCTACAATTTTAGGTATAGAAAATATATAGAAGATCTGAGATATTCTTAGATATTGGCAAAATAATTTGTGTAAAAAATATATTTAGTGAAGAATATAGAATATTGATGGTAGATTTTACGGAATATTAGGATAAACAAAATATAGTTTACAGAATGATAAAATATACTGAATGGCAAAGATTGTTTTAATTCTTTGCTAAAAGATATAGTTTTAAAGAAAATCTTGTTAAATAAAAATAGTACTTTTAGTTAGGTAAAGAAGGTGTTCTTATTTAGATTTGAAGAATCAATTTTAAACAAATTTGGTTTTTGATTATATTTATCTTCACAATAAGTCTTTTACATGATTAAAAGAGTTCATATTAAAATCGCATTGATAACATATGGTTTGATATTCTTCATGATAAGTCATTAGTTACAATTGATTAGAACCATGTAATGTATGTTTTTGGTTATAGGACTTTATAAAACAATCAAAGATAATGTATTAGAAGAAGTAGTACCAAAGAATATGTTAAATAATGTTTTGTTTGTTATTTGTTGATGGATGCGGATACAAAATGTTTCAACTTTCGTAGCAAGGAAAATGTAATATTTGCACCACCAAAGTTAAACTATACAGAAAGTTTTAAAAAATAATTGTAATTTTTTATAGCAGAAGTAGCTTCATATATATTTAAGTAAACTAAAAGTTTATCAGTTTAGTCCGATTGTATCTGATAACATGGTTTTATACATAATATTTGTATTTATTTATTAATGGCAAATGTTGTAATGAACACGTTAACTAAAAGTTAATTTTAATAGTATAGATTCCTATGTATATGTCACGTATTCTATTTGTTTTACATTAGTCACACTGTTTGTTGAAGTATAGTCAACAACTTTAAGTATTGATGATGATTGATTCTTCGGCCGAAGAGAATGGACATAGTGTTGTGCATCGATTCTCCATCAAAACAAAATTCGGATAAAACCCAAAACTAATTAGAACCCCTAACATTTCGGACTTCACAATTTTAAGCGTACTCTAAATCCACTTTAAAGGCCCATTGGGCCGTTGCCGGTTAGAGAACCCGTCCTTATTTTTTTCGATCCGGGTTATCCGAAATACTGATTATGTAAATTACAAGAGCAAAACTGTATGCAGGCAAAAGTCAAAATTAGTGTGAAAAAGTCAAAATTAGAAACTGCGCCCTAAGCTTTTCCCCCAAAAGCACAACAACGATGGTCAATTCTCTATCGTCGTCTCTCTTCCCTCGTATCGCCGATTCACTTCGAATCGGATGATGGAAAACGGAAACCGCTGCGCTGCGTCGAGACTGATTCGACTCTCTCTACACGAAATCGAGAACCAGCTCGAACTATCACTGCGTCAAGCCTATGACTCTCTCGAGCCGAAACTTCGTCCACCGTTTTCCCTCGAAATCCCAGACCCACAAGAGTATCTCGAGCTCAACAGAGCAATCGTCTATGGCGTCTTATGCGACTCTGATTCCTGTAAAACCCACATCAAACATCTACACGCTCTCGTCACTGATGGGTATGCGTTTTTCACTAGTTTGCTTGTTGGTATCGTTATTGAATTGTACGGTAAGCTCGTTGATTCCGCTAAGATCCAGCTTTTGTGGGTAACGAAGGAGATGATCGGTGTTTCGAGTGTAGGGCTAGAGGATTTGCTTGTGTATTTGCTAAGAAGAATCGCAAGTGGAGATTACGGTGATGAGAATGTTTGGCTTTGTTCTGAATTAGTGAGCTTGTTTCTTGAGAAATGGGATTGTTTGCTTGAAGATTTCCCCTTGTTGCTGACTAATGCTCTGTATAGTTTCCTTCGTTTATTAGCCGAACACTGTAAAGTCTCAGGCGTAGCGAAACTCGAAAACGTGAAGAGGTTAGAGATCAGATTCTGTGTCAAGATGTTTAGTGAGCAGATGGATTTGTGTTTGAACATCGGAAGAGATCTTCTCCGGCTGTTGCAGGACCTGGTTCACGTCTCTGAACTCAGAGAGATATCGAACGGTTTGGTCCTAAACCGATGTTACAAGTCCAAGACTTCGAGTAGATACTTCCTTCTCCGAGTCACTCCCGAGATGGAAACACAGCTAAGGTTCTTGCTCGGAAACGTGAAGCTTGGAAGCCATAAGCGGCATCAGATGTGGTTCTTGAAGAAGCATCTCTTGGGTCCTGATAAAGAAACGCTTTTGGTCGACATAGTCCGGTTCATCTGCTGCGCGATTCACCCGAGTAACGAAATCATCAGATCGGAGATCATGCCAAGATGGGCAATCATAGGATGGTTTCTTGAACTCTCTAGGCATAGTCATCACGTCGAAAGAAGCTTTAAGCTTGCTCTGTTTTACGACTGGCTCTTCTTCGACGAAAGGTTCGATAACATCATGAATGTCGAACCGGCTGCTCTGTTGATGGTATGGTCGATACCTCAGTATCCACACATCACTCACTCTCTACTTGAGTTCTTGCTTCATCTTGTGGACACTCATGACACGAGCCGTCGAGAGATGATTTCGAGAGGCGTTGCATCAGCGTTTCGAGAGATCGAGCGAAAAGGAGTCGTTCGATCTTTAGATGTGTTCCTATCGAATCCTGCAATTGCACCGGAGCTGAAGAAGAAGCTAGCGAATTTGTTGTCTTCTCATCATCATCAAGAGAAGGTTCCTGCAGAAGCAATTTTAAAAGCATGCATCACCACCAGAGTTGTTGTCGATGGACTGGATAGATGAATTGGGCCAGTCCAAGTTAATATTAATTGGGCCTTTATATTTAAAAACTTTTTTATCTTTAGCGAAATCGCCTGTTTTAGCTCGTCTCCTCCAATCATGTCATTTCGAAATCCTAATTTCTCAGTTCCTCGCGAGGGTTTTATCTGAATTTCATCGTTCCAAGTTGATCTCTCATTCTCGCTGTAAATTTTCTCGGGAAAATTTCGTACAATCCACGATTAACGACGAAGGTGAGTGAGTCTCTTTATGGATTTTCCTTTTTATTTCTGCGATTATTTGCTTGGTCTGCTGCTAATGGCTTTATCATCTCTCTTTCGATGTTTATCAGAGTGTGGATAAAAACCAAATTATGCAAACATTTAGTCAGATAGGACCGTCGGAGATTTTCTTCATCGCTAGAAGAGATAATCCCAGTACGAGGTTAGTTTATAGTTTATCACATCTTCATTTGCTCATCTGGATTATGAATCTGGGTCGTTGTAGAAGAAGATTAATGTAATTTGATTCTTAAATCTCTGATTGCATTTGATTCTTAGAAATTGCAGGGCACAGCTTTGGTTCACGGGAAGGCTCTCTTTTCGACAAGAAACATTTGGTGAGTGATTCAAATGATACATCGAAGATCACAATCTTGTCTCTTTTTCCCCCAATTTTGATAATGGGTTGATGTTGTTTCATAGGTGTTCGATTAAAGAACAGAGTCGAGTATAGCGCAAGACCTGTTCCTCCAAACCTAATCGCAGCAGAGAAAGAAGAAGCAAAAGCTGTTTTAACTCTGTTCTTCAAGAAACAAGGTCTTAGCAACAGCGTCTCTGTTCGTATAATCAACAAATCCGAGCAATTCATTGACCATTTAGTCTCTAGACTCCACTCTGTTCATAAAGCCCGTTACCTCGTAGGTTCGATCTTCTTCTTACCTTCTTCTCAAAAAACAAGAACTTGAGAAAAGTTTGATCATTTGATGTTTCATTTTGTCAAACAGGAAGAGAGCTAACCACACTTGAGATCAGAGACTCACTCATCCCTTACCTCGAACACCTCCATGAACAACACGGTGATCTTTTTTCCGAGCTCGTTATAAGCTTCCCTGATCCACCGGCTGAGTCTAGACCGATTCCTTCGTCTCCATCTCCAATCTCACAACCTCGTATCCTCACCGATTCCGCTGCAGACACTCGGAAACTCAGAGCCGTGTCTCGTGTCAGCGAGGTCGACACAGAAGGCGCATTGCGTCCTCAGACACTCTACCTTCTCGACCTCGGTTTAAACCTCGAGCAGATCAAAACCATCACTCGGAAGTTCGCTGCTTTCCCTTACTACAGCCTCGAAGGGAAAATCAAACCCGTCGTCGAGTTCCTCCTCGACCTCGGGATCCCAAAATCCGATATCCCAACGATCCTCTGCAAACGCCCTCAGATATGTGGGATCAGCCTCACCGACAATCTCAAGCCGACGATGGCCTTCCTCGAGACGTTAGGCGTCGATAAGAACCAGTGGGCGAAGATTATTTACCGTTTCCCGGCGATCTTAACTTACAGCCGCCAGAAACTCACTTCGACGGTCGACTTCTTGACGCAAACCGGTCTCTCTGAAGAGCAGATTGGGAAAATTCTGACCCGGTGTCCGAACATCATGAGTTACAGCGTGGAAGACAAGCTGCGTCCGACGATGGAGTACTTTAGGTCGCTGAACGTCGATGTCGCGGTTCTCCTTCATCGTTGTCCGCAGACGTTTGGTCTAAGCATCGAGTCGAATTTGAAGCCTGTGACTGAGTTCTTCCTCGGGAAAGGTTATGGTTTGGATGAGATTGGGATCATGATCTCTAGATATGGAGCTTTGTATACATTCAGCTTGAAGGAGAACCTAATGCCGAAATGGGATTACTTTCAGACGATGGATTATCCGAAATCGGAGCTGGTGAAGTTTCCGCAGTTTTTCGGGTATAGTTTACAGGAGAGGATCAAGCCGAGGTACGAGCTGGTGAAGAGAAGTGGAGTGAGGCTGTTGTTGAACCAGGTTTTGTCGTTGTCTGGAGTTGAGTTCGAGAAAGTTGTTAAGAAGAAGATGATGAAGAAACTTGTATCTGATAACGAAATTGCTGGACCATCATAAGTAGTAGTAGTAGCTATTTGTTGTGAATTTTTTTTTAGTTTAGTAAAAACTAATTTTTTTCCCGGGAGCATTTGCCAAACCGGAGGTAAGCAATACAACAAGTGAAAAAACCAAACCGAAATGTTTTGTCAATCACCACACCAAATGTTAACTTCTTAACAATTAAGATACTCCTTAATTCCCCTTAGACCAACTCCAATTTAGGTGTCTAATTAAGTATTCTTAATAATAAAAGTAAAATAAAAAATAATTAATAAAAATAATAAAAGTAAAATAAAAAATACTGGTATCTCATATTTTAGACCAGTATATAAATTTAGATAATTTTTTTTTGTTAAGAATATAACATGACAAGTTAGGAATGGACGATGAAAAATTAATACGGGGAATGTAAAAAAAAGTCTGCCATTTCTTTTTTTTCGTCTCTCTCTTCCTCTCTCTCGATGACGAAAATAGATGCGATTCCTCGCCAAATTCCGATTTGAGTCGATAAAGAGGTCGATCTTCATCGATGAAGTGGTTGATCTTTATCGATAAAAGAATCCTCGGAAGAGTCGGCGAATATGGTTGAAAAATCAATCAGAAATCGCCTCGCCAGTATTCAATGCCTTTGCATGGCTAGAATCCTCTCATTTCTTTAGTAAATCGTCTTCAATTCGTTGATTATAGTGATATTAGGGTTGTGTGAAATCGGATTTGAAATATAATTGAAATTAGGGTTCTTGTTTTTGAAATTAGGGTTTTTTCGAATTTAGGATTTCACCAAATTGATTTGAGGGTTCTTTCAGTAGCATGAAATTAGGGTTACTTGCATATATTAAACATTTGTGTGATAATGATCATACTAAATGATTGCACATACTAAACGTCTATGTGATAACGATCAACCCTTGTTCAATTGTAAATATATGGTTAAAAACTGAAAAAAATGCTTGCAACTGTGATTGAGTTTGTTAAACTTTAGGGTTTGATTGTTGAGTTTAACTGTGATTAGACTTGTACATGTAAATAAATGCATCGACTGAATGCTTAATAAAAAGAGCACAACTACATGTGCTCTGATTAAACACAAAACCATTACTTCTATATATTAATATATATAGCCGTAACTACTTCTTTTCTTTCAACAACTTCTTCTCTTTCATTTGTGTTTGAAAAACCATTCTTCTTCTCTTTCATTCTTATTTTCAACAGAAAGTTAGGATATGGATTCTAGGAATCTATATAGTAAATTCTAAAATTTTATGGACCTTCTAAATAGTCAACAAGATAGCCACCACCCTCACCCTTTTTCTTATGAGATTTCTACCCAAACTAGACCTCTTGAATCATCAGAAGTTCCCCTGTTTAGTAGTCAATGTTCTGATGAACCAACACTAGAGGGTTTAGGGACAGCTGAGGAGCATAAAAAGAGGAAGAGATGGACTCCCACAGATGATTTAGTGCTCATTAGCGCGTGGCTTAACACTAGCAAAGATGATGTAGTGGCAGAAAGTGGTGCCTTTTGGACATGCATAGCAGCCTTATATAATGCTAGTCCTAAGGTTGCATCTGCTAAGAAGAGAGATCATAATAAGTATAAGCAGAGGTGGAGGAAGATCAAAGAGCCTGTCTCCAAGTTCTGTGGAGCATTTGAGGCTGCAAAAAAACATAAGACAAGTGGGCATAATGCTGATGGTTTTCTCAAGCACGCTCATCAGATCTTCTACAACGACAACAAGGTGAAATTCACCCTTGAGCATGCATGGAAGAAGCTTCGTTCTGACCAGAAATGGCGTGCCAACTCGTGTAGTAAAGGTGTAGGTGAAGGTAGTTCAAAAAGAAGGAAATGTGAGGAGGGTTCAGCACAATCTGGTAGCTCTCAGTCGGTTAACATTGAAGATGATGACCTCCTGTTTCGACCTCCTGGTGTTAAAGCAGCAAAAGCGAAAGCTAAGAGGGCAGTGACCAAGACAGCCTCTGTGGAAGAACAAAGCAAGTGTCTGTCAGAGTTTCAGACCATGTGGGAGATAAGGCAGAAGGACTTAGCCATGAAGGATAAGTTTTCAGATAAAAAGTTGCTTGAAAGTCTCTTCGGCAAAACAGAGCCACTTTCTGATATAGAAATGGCTTTAAAGAACAAGCTAATTCAGGATATGTTGTGAAAGTCTTGAATTCCTGAAACTCTTGTATGATATTTAAGTTTATGAAATGAAATTTAAGTTTATAAACTGATTCCAAAGGAATAATATGATCTTTATATTGCTCAGGTACTGTCCTTGCAATGGTTCATGTCATTGCTTTCAATTTTAGTTTGAACTACTTGTGTTTTTACTCACTTTAAATTTCTGGTTCTTTGCAGGTGTAGAAAAGACAAGAAGATTGTGGCTGTCTAATTAGTAGAAGGAAGAGGCAATATGAATTCAGAGACTTATTTGTGGTTGTGTAATAAGAGCCATTTGTATTTCTTTTTCCATTTGTATGTCTTTTGCTTTTCTTTCACAATTATTTGGCATTTGTACTACAAGTATTTTGGCTTTTCAGCAATTTATTTTGGATTCTTGTACCACTAGTAATTTGGCCTTTCAAACATTTGTTTTGGATTCTTGTACCACTAGTATTTTGTACCACAAGTTTTTGCCTTATGCATGACCACCACAAACATAACAACATCAAAGAATTTGTCTATATAAATTAAATGTAAAACCAACACATATTCAACATCTATTTTTTCTATCTCTGAACACATTCATCTTTTTTTTTGTTACAAGAAATTATTCATCTTTCTTTTTTCCATATTTTCAAATGGCCTCTTCTTCCAGTTATCTGTACGATGAAAATTTTGATCAAACGTTTGATGAAAATTTTGATCAAGCTTTCGATGAATCATTCAAAAATCTCTTTGTTGATCATCAAAAGCCAACCAAATCAAAGAAACACGAGCCTATATTGAAAGAAATTGCGAAGAAGCCACATCAAGTTATAGAACGATTATTTCAGTGAAGATGCAAAATATCTGGGTCATTTATTTTGATGCGTTTTAGAATGATCCTTGTTCATGCGTATTATTGATGGACTCTCGAATGCTCTTCCATTCTTTCAGCAAAGAAGGGATGCTACCGGAAGGTTCGGTTTCTCAGCACTACAGAAGTGTACAAAAACAATTCGTATGCTGGCATATGGGTGTCCGGCTGATTCGGTTGACGAATACCTCAGGTTTGGAGAAAGTACTACGATTTCATGCTTGAAGAATTTCGTCAAAGGAATAATATATGTGTTCGGGAATGAGTACCTAAGAAGACCCACAACAGAGGATCTTCAACGACTACTGTATGTCAGAGCGATACGTGGATTTCCCAGAATGATAGGAAGCATGGAATGTATGCACTAGGAGTGGAAGAACTGCTCCACCGCTTGGAAAGGGCAAAATGCATGTGGATCTGGAAAATCAATAATCGTTTTAGAGGTTGTAGCTTCACAGAATCTCTGGATATGACACGCGTTTTTCGGACCTCTAGGTACCTTAAACGATATCAATGTTCTTGCTCGCTCACCAGTTTTGAATGATGTATTACAAGGTAAAGCTCCAAAAATGAATTACTTTATCAACGGACATAAGTATAATTTGAATTACTATCTCACAGATGGTATTTATCCGTAATGGACAACTTTTTTATCCAATCTATTTCACTTCCACAAAGTTCGGAAGACTCATAATTTGCTACACATCAGAGAATCTGTCAGAAAATATATTGAGCGTGCTTTTGGAGTCTTGCAAGCTCGGTTTAAAATTGTTAAAAACCCAATCCTTTTTGGGATATTTCAGGCATAGAAAAAATTATGAGAGCATGTATCATGCTGCATAATATGATAGTAGAAGACGAGCGAGATGGATACAATCTAAATTGATGTATCAAAATTCGAACACGGAGAAGGAACTTCAGAAGTGGATATGACGTATTCTACCGATATGCCTACAAATCTCGGTAATATGATGGACGTTCGCAATCAATGTCATGATAGAACAAGATATCAATAATTGAAAGCTGATTTGGTTGACCATATATGGCAAAAATTTGGGGGAAGTAAAGATTACAATTGAGCGGTTTTTCCAGTTTCTAAATCGCACTTCTATAATTTATATGTTTCCATATATTACATTTTTAAATATGTTTTATGTTTTAAAAGTTGTTAACAAAAGTTTTTATTTAAAATTTATTAAAATTATATTTATATATATATATATATATATATGTTTTTTTGTTTTTAAGACATCCATCAAAAGTGTCTATTTTATGCTATAAAAACAACAAAATATTACAAAGTGTCTTATATACATAAAATACACAAAATATTAATAATTAATCAATAAGACCTACCTTAATGGTGTCTCTATTGGGCTTGCTCTTAAGTTGTTGGCTTTACGCACAAAACCCTAAACCGTTTTCGTCTCGTTGATTCCTCCTCCGACGTCCCTGGAGAAAGAAGAATCTGCCGACGATTACAATGACTAAGAAAGAGCCATCGCTGATGCAGCAATCTACTCCAAACCCAATGCTTCCTGATGATTTGCCATTGAGCTGCTTTGCACGCATCTCAAGATTGAACTATACGACTCTATCCCTCGTCTCCAAGCACTTTCAATCTCTCCTTGCTTCACCAGATCTTAACAAGGACAGGTCACTCTTGGGCGTCTACGCCGAGACTTGTCTCTATCTTTGCATATGTGAACATGACTTTCCTTGTTTTTCGCTGGTACACCCTCTGCCGGAAACCTGGCGATCAAACCCTAACCAATGACACGAGTGAGAAGAAGAAGTCAAGTGGGTATGTATTGGCTAAAGTTCTAATTTCTGATTCTCCTCATACGAAGTTTTTAGGTCTTGTGGCGGTTGGTTCTAAGATATACAACATTGATAAGGACTCCTCTCGCGTCCACATTCTTGATTGCACGTATCACAAGTGGAGCACGGATCCAAGCTTGTGCGTTAAGCTATTTTCACTTTCTGCTAGCGTCGTTGATCGAAAGATTTACGTAGCAGGAAGAAGCGATTCCTTGAAGAACACGTTAGAGGTGTTCGGCGCAAAAACACAAACTTGGAATCCTGAGCCCATCTCTTGCAGCGAGGCAAATTCCCAATTTTTACGTTCCAAAAGCGCATTTATAGACGGAAAGCTCCACGTGGTG